AAAGGGACGTAAAAAGAATTAAGATGGGTCGGGTACATGTCCCAAGTGTCCACAGTAAATGCAATTGTTATGCGTCATAAACACGAACTACAAAAAAAAGAAAATGAAGGGAATCTAGAGACTGAGGGGCAGAGGAAAAAAGGGAATAAAAAGATTTAAGATATGTTAAGTACATGTGCCTACTCCCTGACATGGACACAAACATTATGCACTGCAAACATGTACTAATACATCGTTTAAGTAAAGAAAAACACTTTTGCAATAAGTAGGTACTGTTTAAGAAAAGTTTGTCCTTTCAAACAAGCAAACACCTATCTCTCATTCTTGGAGATATTTTAATTCCAGTACATTAGAAAACCAAATCAAATGGGTAATTAACTCAAAAGTAAAAAGTGACAAAACTGATAAAAGATGAATAACAACTTTAACAGAATCATAGCTACTAAATATATTGAATTACTAATTGAACAACTTCTCTTTTAGAAAATACCAGACAAGGAAAATTTCATAGTTAATCCCTACTCCAAATCCAAGGGACAACATTAATCCCTACTTTTAAAGAATTGAAGTGGGGCTGGGGATTTTGCTCAATGGCACTGTGCCTGCCTTGCAAGCAAAAGGTCCTGAGTTTGATCTCTGGTACTGAAAAAAAAAAAAAAAATTACAAAAAAGGGAAAATGTCAGTCTTTGTTATGAGGCCACATTCCAGCTGCATTTCTTTGTAAACATTTCTACCTTTCAAAATCATTAAGTGAGGAAACTTTCCTGGCTTTATTTCTATTTTCTTTTCAACTTAGTGGCTTCAAATTTTTATTTTTTTATCACTAGAATCAGAATTACTCCTTTCTGCTTTCCATCTATCAAGAATAAGACCAGTACACAAGGCAAACCAATGAAGTATCACTCAGAGATGACACAAGTGCTGAATTTTATTGCACAAGAAAAAAATTGGAGGGGAGAAGGGGGTGAAGGGAGGGCAGGGATAAGGGGAAAAAATGAGAACCAAGACCTGTCATGTAAGGTACAAGATCCTAGTAATGAATGTAACTGTACTGCATCCTTAAAATGTAACAATAAACTCAATTAAAGCTGAAAAAATTAGAATCAGAACTTCTCTCCCTTGGTAATCTTTTAACTTTTTTTGTTGTGGTTGTTAATATCCTTAAAATGTAACAATAAACTCAATTAAAGCTGAAAAAAATTAGAATCAGAACTTCTCTCCCTTGGTAATCTTTTAACTTTTTTTGTTGTGGTTGTTACCGGGGATCGAACTCAGGACCTTGTGCTTGCAAGGCACGCAGTGGAACCACTGAGCCAAATCCCCAGCCAAAGTGATGGTTTAACATTTGATGAAATAGTGTGCTCCTGTATTTATCTGTAAGATTTTTTTTTGGATGTAGATTCTTCCTGTTTGCTCTAGAAAATAGAAAAAACATGTCCAGTGTAAATAAAGAATGTAAATACATGTGTTCATATGACACGTCCTTACTTTTTATTTGCATATAAATGTTTAGTTATTTAATGCATCTGGGCTCACAGAGTTCATTTTGAAGTTTTCTGTACATAGTATAGCTGATAATAGATCAAGCTTTGTAGTTACGAAGTCTGGTGGGGTTTGGTTTTTTTTTTTTTTTTCAGTCCTTTTATTGCCTTTGTAAAATATGGAAACTTTCTTACCTTTTTATCTCTGATATAGAAAATTTATCTTTAAAAGATTTTGTGACGATTAAATTAAATGGTAACTATAAAAAGGTTGAGGCTGGCTTATAATAATTCTCTATTATATATTAGTTATCTGTGCTATGATGAATACTACTAGAAGAGATCGATTATAATTTATGGTTAAAAATTAAGCTAAAAGATTAACCATCCATATATGACTGGTAAAAATATCTTTAAAATAACTTTATTTACAAAACACATGTATTTCCAGGTGTGGTGGTGCACACCTGTAACCTGAGCATTCAGGAGGCCGAGGCAGGAGGAATGCCAGCTCAAGGCCAGCATGGGTTACACAGTGAAACCTTGCCTTTAAAGGTGTGTGTATTTTTTATTAAATGAAGCAAAGCTGCACAAAGAATCTTTGCTATTCTTAATATCTTGGGGTCCAGTCAAAAAGACTAAGGCTCTTGGCTGGAAAAGTTAAGAAAAAAAAACCCAAAACTTGAAATAAGGCCAAAGAAGTACAGCATGACCTTTCCATATCATCCTGGGCTCTGGGGAAGAATTTAATTATCTGAAAGCACATGGTATGGGAGCCACACGCAGTGACTCCGCGCTCGATTGTTGGAACTGAGGTGTGCCGTAAAATGCAAAATGAGCAGCAGTCTTGGGAGGCTTAGAATAAAAATTAAAAATGCAGAGTATCTCACAATTTGCTTTATTACATGTTAAAATAATATTCTTGCTATCTTGGATTATATTGTTTATTGTTGAAATTATTTTTCTTTTTCCATGTGCCTACTAAAAAATTGTAAATGACCTCTATGGCCTAAATTGTATTTCAACTTAGGTGGACGGTGCTGGTGTAGAGGAATGCAGCCCCGTGTGACTCACGGCTCACTATTAATCAGTTTTGTTAATAACCTAGGACTCTTCCTGAGATATTTTTTAAGCTTGTGTTTAAATGCACAGAACTCAAATGATCTTTTAACCATCTTAGCTATTTTCTGATTTCTTTATTCAACAGTCAGAAAATCTCTGCCATGTACTCACTCTAGCGATTTAATAGATATAATTCAGAAGAGTTCATTTTCAACTAATGCTCTTGAAAGTCTTTTTTTTTTAACATTCTGAAAATTATACTTTGATGGAGCAAAGTCCTTACTATCTCGTAAACACCTGTGAATTATCTTGGCTTTTACTGTTCCCTATAAACTAAGTGTAAGACATTTTCCCTAAAATTCAACGATGCCATAGTTTAATACTGCACTCAGTCATCTTGCAATTCAAAACTCACAAACAATACATAAAGAGAGACTTGTAACCAGAAGTTTAAAGCACGACCCTTCTGAATTATCTGCAAGGTATCAGACACAGAAATCGCAGTTTTATGTTAATGTGGACCATTTACGGCATGCGGCCTTGAGCAGTTAATCATTAATGTTCTTGGTAACCTTAAGGCTGTGCTGATATTTATGTGGCTCTGATGAGAAGAGTTGAACTTACCAGTTTTAAATGCAAGCATTTTCCCAAAATTTTTCATTTCTTACTTGATGGGATGGCATTTCCATTTTAAAAGCAATGAACAAGGAAAACAAAATACTTTGCTAAATGAAGTGAAGCTGTAGAAAGATTCTATTTGCTATTCTTTTTTTAGGGGGATACCAGGGATCAAACTCGGAACCTGGTGCTTGCAAGGCAGGCAGTGGAACTACTGAGTCAAATCCCCAAGCCCTCTATTTGCTCTTCTCAATGTGTTTGGATCCAAGAAATCAACATGCATGACAGGTACAAAATAGAAGACGATTCTGCTCCACAGAAATATGAATTTTGAAATCAAAATGAGTTCTTACCTAGAAATCACAGTGAGTTCTCATTAACCTGAGACGTCACAGTTAGTCCCCGGCCAGCGCTAGTAGATGACTTTGATCTCATGGGCCCCTAGCAGTGGGAACCGGTGACTAGGTCATTTGTGCTTAATGCAGTGTTCTGACTCCCACGGAAGTCATTCACTGAACAGCTACTTCCTGAGCCCTCATTGTCCACCAGCTTCTCACACATATGATACAAACCCCTGCTTTCATGAAGTCTCTCTGTTAGTGGGAGAACTGTAGTGATTGGAGAAGAACAAATCAGAAGAGTGCTTGTACGTGAGCAGAGAGGAATATTCACGAGCTAACAAAGGACCGTGTAAGGTGTTCGCCGTCTTTCTTCACCATCTTCATTTGCGCTTGATTCAATCTGTTATTCTGTCCATCCTGGCTCTAGGAGCAAAGAGCTATTATACACCCTATATCCTAGCTGTGTGGTAGGCTAGGTTTGTGTAACTATGTTCTATGGAGTCCACCTAACAATGCATTTCTCAGAACGTCGCGTTGGTCTAACGGACACCAACCACATTCTCACTAATCCAGTTGAATCAAGGAGCTACAAATGTCAGTAGTTTATATACGTCATCTCCTGTAATTCCACAAACTCTGAGAGAACAGTCTCCAAAAAGTTAAGCAAATCATCCAGGATCACACAATTCCAGGTGGATTATTTAGAATTTGAAGCCAGGGGGTCAAACCCAAGCCCTAACTCCGCCCACTAATCCCTCAGAGGTGGAGGAGGAGCACAGCACGTGAATAAAGGGCCTGGGAAGCTGGAGAGCTCCGCAGGACTCACACTGGCCGCCCTGTGTGTAAGGACAGCCCTGCTTATGGGCACTATACAGGCGAAGCACCGAGGAGACGCTGGCTGAGCACCTGCCCAAAGCCACAGAGCGAGGCTGGGGGTCCAGGGATTGGTTATGCTGCCTTCGAGGACTTGGGTTCAGAATTCCAGTAAATCTAGAGGTGATTCTCTGTAAACAAAGTAAGAATGTTTGCGGGCAAAACAAACAGGAAAGCTAAAGAAACCAGCTCAGTGTGGAAGGAGTTTAACCCCTGGGGAGCACTTGTGACCTGCTGTGGGTGGCATCACCTGCCACAGAGAGCCCTGGGGCGAGGATACGCAGATTCTGGCTGCAGGAAGTCAGGCAAAATGCTCTGTAATAATAAATATTGTGAGGCTGTGAGGAGCACTGACGGTTTCTGAGAAAGAGAATTGCTGCGTGGCTACTGGTAGTTTTCCAGAATTCGTTAAAATTTTGGGAAAATATTTCATCAAGGACCTGGATTCCTTCAGACTTCACTTCAAACGGCTTGAGTACTATACATAAACTTTATTTAAAGTTCCTATGACATTAGAGCTCTTAGAGGATAAAGAACATTTCATTTAAAGCAGCAACTGAGTGGTAATTCTAAAGAGTTAATATAAGTATTCAATGACAAATACTACATTTTTTGGCTACTCACCCAAGTCTTCATGCATTTTCTTCCACGTGATTTCTGCACACATCACAGCACTCACCTCCTGTGTCACTGAAGGAACAGGAGACACAGGAAGTCGGTGAAAGCAAATGTATTACGTTTCACTGTTGTTTTTGAAATGGCAATTTAATAATACTTGCTGCAAGAGCGTATCTGTATGCCAAATTGACAGTCTTGTTCTGCTGAGACACCAGAATTTACAAAGCAACCACCTTTGCCTGGGATGGACTTTGAGCCATGATAGAAGCGTAGGCTCCCGTTACTTTTTATGACTGTATCAGAGCATTTCTGCCTACTTTTCTTACTTGAGTGTAAGTCACTGAATTGCTTGCAGGCTCCCAAATGTAGGGGCAGGGGTGATTTAGAAAAACGTTTCTCCAAATGTTCAAGCCTCACTCTATCATACCAACAACTATCTTTGGATTATGAAAAGAAAATTAAACTTCTAGGTAATCCACTGTTTGCATTTCAAGAGAAAAGGGAGGAGCTTTACTCTTAAAGCCTGGAACAACTTTCATTCTATCGATGATAATTAATTTTAAAAGTCTGTGCTAAAGTGCCCTGGAAAACAGTGTGGGGGGCTGTTTCTCAACAGCTGTGGAGACAGTGTCAAACTCACTGGGCATGCAGCAGATTTACTAGGCCACTGGGACTTTGCTAAAATTGGGTTGGAACTGAGTATCTCCTATTCATCACCTGTCAGTAATTGGTATCTACACAGAAGCCATATTAGGACAGACAAGAAATTCAGCAGTGACCTGTTTTTTTTTCTTTTTATTGAGTTCATTGGTAAAATCTAGGTATACAATACAGTTACATTCATTTTGGGGATCCTGTACCTTTACATGATAGGTCTTGATTCTCATTTTTTTTATTGAGTTTATTGGTACAATCTAGGTATACAATACAGTTATATTTATCATTGGGATTCTGTACCTTTACATAATAGGTCTTGATTCTCATTTTTTCCCCTTGTCCCTGCCCTCCCTTCACCCCTTCCTCCCCTCCCCATTTACAAACACTTTGTTTCCATTTTTTCAGTTTCTCATATTTTTTCCTCTCCCTTATTACCTTTCCCCACCCTTCCCACTTTCCCTACACCTTTATCCCTTTACTTCCTATTTCACATTATTAATTATCTCATTAGGATCCTGTGTATTATTATAGTTTTTCACACCAGAGAAACTATTTGGTATTTCAGTTAAAGAAATCTCTGTTTGAACATTAAAAATAAGGAATCCTAAAATAAAACTAAAAAGGAAAGTAAAAGAGAAAGGGCAATGATGTAAAATTAAAATAATTCTTAATTCTGAAGATGAAAATGGTCCCTGAACATATTTAAATTGCTTCTTGCTCTTATAGCCTTATATTATTATTTTTTTCATTATTTAGAGAATACTTTATTAGTTTCTATAATCAAACCCACAAAGATATGACCTTACATAAGTAATACAGTGTGTTACTCCTGTACAAATTGGTAAAAAAATTAACATTTCTAGACCAATATGGCTGTTAATTTCTGTACAAGGCCAACTCAACAGAGTAAATTGGGATAACTTTTTCCAAAGTTAACAGCACAGTTAAAGTTTCAAAAAATTCAAATTATGTATGTGTGTATA